GCTGCGCAGTGTTTCGTTCGCGACCTGGTCCGGCTCCGGGCCCTCCGCACGCCGCCAGCAGTGCGCGCCGCAGCGTCCTCTGGCTGGGCAGGGCGGTGGTGGGGCGCCTTTTCCGTTGCGTTGCAGTGCAGCTCGCCGTTGCGAGCGCAGTGGCCGGCTGCCCCACTGCCAGGGCCGGGCGACGGCCCTGCACTGGACCGCGTGCTCGACCTCGCCGGCAACGAAGGGCCTAGCCGCTTGCCTCTGCGGCTAAACCGGGACCGCGCGCTGGCGAAGTATAGTAAGACCAGCGTAGTGGTGACACTTCCCTGCAGGCGGAAAAGTCCGTGACAAAAAAAGATTGCTCGCCGAAGGGTTGGATGAACGCCCTGCTTCGCCTCCTCTGCAGGTTGTCACCTAGTTCCCGCCGCGGGCGCTTAGAGCTCTGCTTAGAGCTGCTGCCCGTGCGGGGTGGGATCCCCGGTGGTGGGGGCAACTGGCCTGCGCTTTGCAGCGTGCCTTGGCGTCGACGCTCCTTGGCGGCGTTTGGCGCGCACCGGCGCAGCCTACAGGAGACGAGAGCGTCCCACTCGGCTGGGTCGTTGCGCTCGCCGAAACCGAGCAGTCCTCCAGGCTGCCGCAAAGGGCCTGATGCGCGTGCAATGGATGAGCACATTGGCGGATGCAAACAGGAGCGTGAAAAAGCAATGATGTCGGTTCAACGAACCTCGAACGATCTACAATGGGCAGGGTTGTAAGATGGTGCAAATTTGATCAAAATTGCTTGGCCTTAGCTGTATGGTCGGGCCTGGGCATGACCTTCGGAAATTTCAGGGTGAGGTACGTTCGTTCTGCAACATGCCCAACGGGGGGGGGAGGGTGGTCGGAACCAAGGATTAACTACACGAGGTCACCAAGTATCGTTACCACGCCGAATTGGCCCAAACATGTTTTAGCGGGTTGAACCACCAGCCATTTGTCGTTTGTTCGTTTGTTTGTTCGTTTGTTTGTTCGTTTGTTTGTTTGTTTGTTTGTTTGTTGTTTGTTTTGTTTTGTTTGTTTGTTTGTTTTGTTTGTTGTTTTGTTTGTTTGTTTTGTTTGTTGTTTTGTTTGTTTGTTTGTTTGTTTGTTTGTTTGTTTGTTTGTTTGTTTGTTTGTTGTGTTTGTTGTTTTGGTTGTTTGTTTGTTTGTTTGTTTGTTTGTTTGTTTTGTTTGTTTGGTTGGTTGGTTGGTTGGTTGTTTGTTTGTTTGTTTGTTTGTTTGTTTGTTTCTTGTGTTTGTTTTATTTGCTGGACTCCTTGCTTCCTTGCTTCCTTGCTTGCTTGCTTGCTTGCTTGCTTGTTCGCTCGTTTGTCTGATTGTGGGGTTGTTTTAATGATTTTTGGTGTGTTTTTTGTTTGTCGCTTGTCGCATGTTGCTGTTTGTTGCTTGTCGTGTGTGGGATTTCGTTTGGTAATGGGTTGTTGGTTTGTCTTTTGTTTCTTGATCGGTTGTTGGTGTTTACTGGTTGTCGGTTGTTTGATTCGTTTTGTTTTCTGTTGTATTTGTTGGCATTTTGTTTCCTTCTTTGTCTGTTTATTTGCTTGCTTGCTTGTTTTTTCATGGCCTTTGATAGTTTCTGTTTCTTGCGTGGTTGTCTGTTTGTTTCTTTGCTTGCTTGTTTTTTTGTGTGTTTGTATGTTCTGTTTGGTCGTTCCTTCGTTTGTGGGATGGCGTTTGTTCCATTTTGGTTTCGTTTGCTGGTGGTTGATTGTTTTCCACTGTTTGTTGCTGGTTGCCGGTTGAACTGCTTGTTGCTGTCTTGGCTGTTTGCCATTGCTTTTTCGTTTTGCGACTGCTTCTGTTTACATTCTACCAGCTGCTGCTGCTGCTTTCTGTTGTTTTCTGCTGCATCCTGTAGCTTGTGATAGTGGATGTGACTAGCAGACTAGCACGACTGGAAGAGCAAGGGGCGACGAGGATTAGCTGCACTGATCAAACCTGCCTCCCAGGACGGCAAGTGAAATGTGGCTGCAGAAGCACATCCAGTCTTTCGACACAGGAAATCGTCGGAAGCGCAAACAGGCCGGGTGAACCATTGTGCTGTTTGTTGGTATTTCGACGAACCCGTACATGTCCTGTGTTTGCCGACTGCCTTTTTTGCCGTCGGCTTCATCTGGGACCCATGCCCTCAGTTGCAGAGGTGCTGGAAGATTTCCTGGAATATGTGAAGCAGAGTTCGTTAAGTGGCATGGAGGACGGCGAAACACCCATGTTGGGGCTTTCTTTTTAGCGCTCGTTAGCATGGGACCATCACAGGGTATAAATGACGGCTGTTTGCCGATATTTTGGCGCAGTTGCTTTGCGATGTCCTTGGTGGACAGGGCCCGTTTGTGTTTCGGCATCAAAGCATCGTGGACGATGTTGTCAATCGGTCTTCAATGGCCCCGCCTCAAGCAGCATGAAGTTATTCCTTCCACAAAAGATGCGTGTTTGTGTGATGTGGAGCGCAGGAGCTGTTCTCAAAAGAAGCACATCGATTCCTTTTGCGTTTGACGTCGTGGTTCTCTGTCTTGTGCTCAGCTGCCAGTTGCCCTTGATTCCTTTGGTTTGCGGTTGTCCAAATGCCATGTACTTACGAGATCTTCCGGCCGTGCAGGTGACCCTGCCGCTGCTCTATGCCCTGCCGTTGCAGTTGACCCTTGAGCCGAATTTATGGTACAAGTGCCACGCCAAGTGGGGATGGTTGCCATGTTCCTCTATGAGAGCCGCAGCAACCCAGGAAAGTTTTCCTCGTTTTCTTGGAGTTTCGGGAACAGCCTCGAGCTCGGAGCTCTGGGATGCGTTCGGTGCAGTTTCTGTTTTGGCGAGGTCAGTTGTGCGAGCGTTCTTCGAGTCCGGCGTCGTTCTTTCGTTGATGAGCGTACCTCGGCATCAACTGAGCACTTGTACATACTTGCTCGGATCAAGCTGCTTCATTCGAAGCATTTGCTTGGCGTCATCGACTGCCTATATACTAAGACACTGGTCACCGACTTCGATTGCACAGACGAAGTCCGGTGTTTAGCAGAGCCTGAGCTGCACGGGGAGGGGTGTCCATGGTTGTTCAACCGGGTGCAGTTCGAAACCTGACCCACGCCCCAACCCGTCCCAACCCCAAACTTCGTTTCTTGAAGTTGAAACGATGAACCCGACAAAGTTTTCATCTTCGCGTGCTGGGCGCGAGGTTTTGGTACTTCATCGGTTGGCCTTGCATGGGCGGACGTGCAAGGAGGCAGGTCCGCTGGAGAAAGCTTGGGTTTTTGAATTCGCGTAAGTCGTTCACCTGCAGTACTCACAGCATCGTAGCATTTGCATTGGTCGTACTAGTAGCGGAAGCAGCAGCAGCAGGAGGAGGAGGAGGAGTAGTAGTAGTAGTCGTAGTAGTAATAGTCGTGGTGGTCGTAGTGGTAATAGGGTGGTCGTGGTAGGAAAGAGGTAGAATCGTAGACGTAGTCGTAGTCGCAGTCGTAGTAGCAGTAG